ATCTCGCATCTCCGCCCTCGAGGTGCGGCCAGTCGAACCGCCTCCAGGGACCGTGGGAGGGGCGGGCAGGCGAGGGGCGGGCGAGGGGCGGGCAGGCCTCGCCGGCGAGGGGCGGGCAGGGGCCGCCGCCGCCGACGACGACGACGAGTGCCCGCTCGCTCCTTGGGTCTTTGTCATCGACGGGTCTGCGTTTCTCTGGCACCAGGCGCGGCAGCGTGGCCCGTCGCGAGTCGTCAGTAGGTGCGATGAGCCCGCTTGTTGACCCCACCCTCCCGCTCCAGGTGCGGTGCATGGTCGCCACTCTCTTCCTCGTCGGGTCCGGACGCGAGGCTCCGTCGCTGGTCGACTCGCTGCTCGACGTGCAGCAGTGCCCCGCCCGGCCCTGCTACGACATGGCGCCCGACGCGCCGCTCCTCCTCCACTCGATCGGCTACCCGGAGGCGCGGCTGCGCTGGACGCCGCATGCCGACGAGTCCCTCTCGGCGGTGGCGGCGCTGTGGCGGCGCGAGGCGGAGGCGGCCACGCTGCGCTCCGCCATGCTGCTGACCATGCGCTCCTCTCTGCTCAGCGCCAGGGTGGCACGGCCGGCGCCAAGCGACAGGGCCGGCGGCGGGGCTGGCGGCAGCGAAGGCGGCGGCGGCGGAGGCCGCACGTCGCTAGTGGCGTGGGGGGAGCTGCTTGCCGAGGGCGGCCGCAGCCCGGGCGGGGAGGAGGCGGGAGCGGCGCGCGGCGGCAAGTACATCCCGGTGCTGCAGCGGCCGACTGCGGACGGCGTCGAGGCGAAGGCGGCGACGCACGAGGCCAAGCGCGCGAGGCGCGAGGCGCGCCAGCAGGCGGAGGCGGCAGCGGGAGGGACCCGCGACTGAGAGTGTGTACCAAGTCATCGCACCACAGGGCGGGGCGTCAGCCTCAGAGCAAAAAGGTGTGCTCGAGCGCGGTGGAGGGTCGATCTCTCGTTGCGGGCCCGACTTGGTGTGCGACACACTTGTGTGCGATACTTTTCACGTGCTCAAAAGTACAGTACTAGAGCGGCCGTTCACCGCTGGAACTTCACCACACCTGGCTGGCACTATAATTATCCCATGCCTGGCAAGGAGGCCGGTCAGCGCCGGCTCGGTGCGGGCGCCTGAGAGCGTGTCGTAGTGTCGTACACATGGCCGGTGGGCCGCAGACAAAGATGATGTGAGCACGTCGGCCGGGGGCGGCGGCAAGTGTTCGCGCAGGAACGCCGCGTCGATGCGGCCGCGGCGGCTCGTCCAGCTGGACCCCGCCGGCTCTCGCGTCAGCGTGTGCTGCACGCGCAGCCTGTGCGGGTGCGACGCCTCCCAGGCCTCGATCGTGCGCCTCGCTCAGTCATGTGCACCCTTTCGCCCTTCTCATCACTGCCCCGGCGCCCACGCCTCGATCTTCTTGGGCAGCAGCTGGTCCGACAGGTCCTCTCCGTGGCCTAGGCAGCCGCATTCGCCCTTGCCCCAGGTAAAGACGGCGCCGTCGGCGGTGGTGGCGAGGCTATGCTCGCGTCCAGCCGACACAGCGACGACGCGCCGCCCTGCAAAGGCCTCGACCTTCTTCGGCAGCAGCTGTGGCTGCGTGTCGCCGTGGCCCAGCTGGCCTGAGGCTCCCCAGCCCCAGCTCCAGACGGTGCCGTTGGCGGTGCTGGCGAGGCTGTGGAAGCCTCCAGCCGACACGGCGACGACGCGCTGGCCAGCAAAGGCCTCGATCTTCTTGGGCAGCAGCTGGTTCTGCGCGTCGCCGTGGCCCAGCTTGCCAAAGCTTCCACCGCCCCAGCTCCAGACGCTGCCATCGGCGGTGATGGCGGTGCTGTGCTCGAGTCCAGCCGACACGGCGACGACGCGCTGCCCAGCCAAGGCCTCGATCGTGTTCGGCTGCCACTGGTGCTGCTCGTCCCCGTGGCCCAACTGGCCATAGCTTCCATCGCCCCAGCTCCAGAGGGCGCCGTTGGCGGTGAGGGGGCGGCGGCGGAAGCGGCGGCGAGGCGGCGCGAGGCCGGCGGCGCGGCGAGGCAGACATCGCGAGAAAAAGAAACCCTTGTCCCGCCGAAAGTGTCGGTGTCACAAAGAGTCACAATTCAAACAGCGCCTGACGCATGGCGTTCAGGCGGCACTTCTCTCGCGTCGGCTCCGCCGAGCGCTGCACAGAGACCATCTTCACTGACCACCAACGACAGGTGTGCGACTACGCGCTCGTCTACGCGGAGAAGAAGAACGACGGCGAAGCGCCGTACTCGGTCTCCTTCACCGCGACGCAGAGCGGCGACGTCATCGTACAGCTGCACCCGCACTCGCAGCTCGAGCGCGCTGTGCGCCAGGAGCGGCAGGCGCAGGCCACGGAGCCGCCTGCGAGCGCGAGCCCTGCGGCGCCGCCCGCCCCTGCCGCCGCGCCGCCAGCCGCGGAGCCGGCGCCCAAGACGTACGCCGCCGCAGCCGCATCGCAGCCGCAGGGTGCCACCGCGGGTGGCCAGCCCGCCGCGCCTGCGGGCCCGGCCGCCGCCGCGCGCGTGCCGCCGCCGCCCAGCGGCGGCGGAGTGCGCGGCTGCTCCTTCACTGTCCCTAACCCGGGCAGGAAGCGTGGGCAGCAGCAGCGCGGCAAGGGCCGCGGTGCCAGGGGCCGTGCCGATGCTGGACCCCGTCTCGTTGACAAGAACGCGCTGTCCGCGCGCGGCAGCGGGCCCTCGCGCCAGTCGCGCTCGCCGTCGCCCGACTCTCCGCCCGCCAAGCGGGCCGCCTCCGCTGACTCGTCCGGCTATGAAACCGATACGCCGGACGAGGTGCAGCAGGAGGCGGTCCGCAGGGTATGCGGCGCGCTCGGCATGAGGGAGCAGTTTGAGGCGGCGATGGCGGCGGGCGAGCTGCTCGAGATGCTCGAGAGCTTGCCGCGAGGGGCGGTCGAGGCCTCTGTCCGACAGATGCGGGGTTACAACCGCACGGGCGAGTGGCCAGAGCCCATTCTCACCAGCCCTGCCCCGCAGCGCGGCCGCTCGCCAAGCCCCGTCGATGAGTGGTCAGATGGTTAGTGCCCGAGAGCGAGGGGTCCGGGGGGGAGCACAAACATAGGACGCCCAGCCTTGCCCTCGCCGAGTGCATATCCTATGCGAGAGAGATCCCCTGTGCCCTGTGCCCAGCCCTCTCCGCGCGGCGATGCGCCCTCCCCCCTCGCTTTTGCAAAATCCTGCAAAGGTGGGGACGTGTCTGTCCTCGACCCAGCCCTAGCTTGGGATGTCCGTTGTATTTATTTATGTCACAAGGAAAGAGGTAGGCCGCGAGCGCCGTGACTTTTTTCTTTTGCCGGGAAAGCTATTTTCTTTTGGGTCCTGTGGGCACCCCCTAGCTATGCAAGCGGCGACCCTACAAGCTACATCCAAGATCTCAGCACTGCGCAAGTCCCGCCGTTTCGCGGCGGCATGTGGCACGGATGCCGGCGATCGAGCTGTTGCTGAACCAGAACCCGTCGGACGCCGGGCTCGGCCGGACGTCGCCTTCCCCCGAGGCGCTGAAGAGCTTGCACTGCTCTGCGTACCCCTTGACGTGCGTCGCGAAGCGGCCCGAGAGCTTGAGGGCCGTGCCGTCGTCCTTGCGCCGGCCGCCGTCGCGCGGCTCCTCGGCCGCAGCCCTCTTGTTCCTCTGGTAGCGGTCGAGCTTGCGCCACAGCAGGGCGACGCCCTCGTGGCTGAAGCGGAAGTGCGCGATGCGCGGCATCTCGGCCGTCTTCAGCGGCTGCGACAGCTTGCAGGCAGAGGGCCGGCCGCCCTTGCTCGCCGCCGCCCGCGCCGCGTCCGGCTCGCCCGCCGCCGTGACGCACGTGACCGAGTGGGCCGTCCGGTACTGCACGAGCCGGCCGTGCGCGTCGCGCGCGGAGACGAGCACCCGCTTGGCGTCGAGCAGCGACACCGACGACGACTGGGAGGACGACAGGAACGCGGCGACGTCGCACTGCACGGGGAACTGCGCGTGGATGGAAGTGGCGATCGGCCTGCGGCCGGAGGGGCCGACGAGGCGCGGCTGCGGGGCGCACGCCCAGTGCGGCGCGAGCCGGTCGACGAACTTTGCCTGCAGGTTGACGCGCGCATCGGGCGGCAGCATCGCCTCGAGGCCGCAGGGCAGCGAAAAGAACTCGTCCAGGTCCGGGTACATGAGGAGCGCGTCCGCGGGCAGCGCGCGGAGGTACTCGTTGACGAGGACGGACTTGAGCTTGCTCGACCACGTGCCCTGCGTATTGTTCGAGTAAGGCACGCCCGCCTCGCGCAGGAGGGCAAAGGACGCAGCCTCGCGGCGCGCCAACGCCGCCGTCGCCTCATCGCCACGCGCAGGGTCCACGATCAAGCGCGAGCGCGCGGCAAAATCGATTCCAAGCTCGCGGTAATGATGGATAAAGTGGGCGAGGAGCTCGGGCGCGGACGCCACGACAAAGGCGTAGAGGTACGTGCGCGAGGCCACGCTCGGCGGCAGCCGCGCCGAGCCGGCGCTGGTGCCTTCTCGAGAGAGGCACTCTCTGGTTGCGTGCTTCATCCTTCGACTGATAGGGGCCGATGCGCGCGCCGAGAGCGAATGGAAGCGCCGCGCAAAAGAATTCTGGCCGCGTCGTAGAGGAGACTGGCACGACAAGCAAAAGAATTCTTGCTGCACACTGCCCAATTCCTCCTCATCCTTTCCAAAGCCTCCGGAAGTCTCGAAATCGAACAAACGCAGGTCGCAATCTCTCTCTCTCTCAATCCTCTTCCCGCGCGAAGCGGTAATCGCCATGCAGCCGCGTCTCGAGCGACCCCGTGGGGGGGTCCGCACCCTCCTCCGCCCCCGCCTCCTCCGCCTCCGCCGCCTCCTCCTCCTCCTCCTCCTCCGCCACCACCGCTGCCGTCGCTCCCGACGGCGAGTACTTGCCGCGTCCTTTGACCAAATTGAGCAGCCCGGGCTCCGTGTTGCCGAAGCGAACATACGCCCCCTTCCAGCCGAGCGCTCCGTCCTTGCCCTTGCTCGAAAGCGAGCTCGTAAGCTTCAAATCGGCGCCGAGGCGCCTGTGCCCCTTGCCAATGTTTGCCGCCGCCACGTCAGGTTGTTTTGGGTTACTGTAACTGAGGTGTGCGGTCGGCTCCTGCCAGCCCACGCTGATCATGCCCCGCGCCGAGCGGAGGGTCTTGACCAATCGTTTGAAGCAGGAATTTGTGTCTTGTAGCATGCTTCGAGCGAGGGTTAACCATCGCGGCGTCGCCGCGCAAAAGAATTCGCCGCCCTTTAGGCCCTCTCCGCGCCGCGATGCGCCCCCTACGCCTCGCTTTTGCAAAGCCTGCAAAGGTTGTGACTTGTCTGTCCTCCCCCGGCCTATGCTCGGGTCTTCATTTTCTTTATCTCTTTGGCTTTCTCGTTCTCGCATTGTACCGCACTCCGCAGCGCGCGCGCACACACCTTGTGTCACACTCTCGCCCTCGTGCCCTCGTACCTCCTCCGCGACGTCCAGCCGTGGCACAAGTGGGTGAGCCGCGGAGGCCTCGACGGCAAGGGCGACCAAGACGGCACAAGGGGCAGACGTGAGCGGTATGGTGGGAGAAGGTGACGCCTCTCCCCTCCGAGTGGGGCTTGATGGGGCCATTTTTGGCTCCATTACCATCATGTCGACACTCTACGCGGTTCTTGCCCTCAACCTGCTCCCTCACATCGACCGCACGATCCCGCTCGGCTCCGCTAAGCTCAAGATACCCGCTATTGCCGCTACCCCACCGGTGAGACCATCTCCACCGCACTCACCGACCCGATCTCCCCTTTGTCGGCCACGTGCTGTGGCCGATCTCTCTCAGCCTCATCTGCGTCGTCCTGCCGCCCTTTGCCCTCGCCCTCTTCGACACCCACGCCGACACGGTGGCCCGGCCCCGAGCTGCAGCCTGCGATCGCTCCTCGCCGTCGTCGCCGCCGTCACCGCCCTCACCTACTAATTTTGTGCAGCCCTCCTTGCGAGCGACTGTGTATCCTCGGCCCCCCGTGCTCCTACCATGGCGGCGGCGTCGCATGGATGCATCCTCGGTTGGTAGCACGTTTGAGTTTGGCTGAAACGGAAAGCCGATCACCCCAAAGCCAAACCTCACCACCGTGTCGAAACGCCCTCGTGTCCTCCCGAAGACACCCTTGCCTACTTCAGACCGCAGACCCAGGCAGGATGTCGACGCTACGACAAGGTCCTCCCTCCGGGGCGGCGCCGGTCACCTGTCAGGATACCGTTCGGGGCCGCGGTTACGCCTCACGGTTAGGCGCGCAAAGGATCTGCCCGCGGGCCGACCCTCCCCGAACCGGTTGTCAACACACAGGCGCAAGCGAACGTGTGTTGGTGTGGCAAACCCAAGAGGGAAGCGGGAAGGACCAGTCTACACCACCCTGGTCACCACCCCCGAGAGCAGGGCCCAGTGCCAGTAACCTCCAACGACCAACCCCCTCAGTCTCTAAAAAATTAAATATTCTTAGCTTCTTGCCCCCCTCCGAGACTGGAGACAGAACCACACCAGTATCGGACCAGAGGGACTGCCCCCCGCCCCCGCTTGCCCTCTGCACAGGATAGCGTGCCCCAATTGGCGACACATAGCGGGGGACACTGCGCAAGGAGGGGGTGCGACGGCTTTCTTTTGTCCTCTCGAGGGAATGTTCTCTCGGCGCCCATGGCCTTCTGTGGTTTCGTACTAATGACGTCCTTCTTGGCACTTCGGGCGTCGGTTGTGCGTATCTGTTGTGTCTAATTCCCCCGGTAATGTGTTACGGGTATCGGTCGCAGCGGAGTGGACACTACCTCTAGACCATCATCTACTCTGCTTACTTCGGCCGTCGGCCGCTCGGTGGTCGAGTGGCTTCCGGATCGAATCGGCAGCTTTGACCCTTATAATTTTTTCACACCTGAGCGGGCCCAATTTTGCTCAGATGCACCTCCGAATTCGAAATCGCGTCCTCACGCTTAGCGCTTGGTGTGCGTCCGTTTTTCGTCACGGGTCTGCCCCCTCTCAGTCTCTAGGACTCCCCTCTCAATGTACAATTACCACCTCTATGCACATTCGAGGTGGCCTTATCTTATGGAGGGAAGAACTAGAAATCATCATCCAGGAGGGAGCCCCCCCCCCGCCTGACCCGCGGATGCCCCCTCTCGCGCCGATTTCGGCACGCGGGAGATATTGCCACGTGGACGGAGGGGTTATTTTGCGGGGCGGAGGCCGACCTCAAGCTCTCAAGCAAGCTCGAGAGGCTTCGGATACCGGGGCTGTCCGCGATGTATTACGCCCTTTCTCCTCAACGGCTATCACTGCCTCGCGAGTGTGAGTGAGGGAGTATTCTTGATACGAAACCACGACGACACACACCAGTCGACTTATACGTTATAGACTACATGGTATAGCCTGCGACTACATCCCTCGGCGGCCGATGCCGTCTGCTCCGACTCCCCCCTCCCTGGGTCTGCCCTGCTCTCGTCTCTCTGCGTGATCGTATATCGTCCCGCATTATTTTACCGCGCCGCGCCACCTGCCCCTGCACTGTGCACACCTCGGCGCTCGGGGCGCCTCACGTGTTTCCCAGTTTCGTGATCCGGTATTTCGTGTCATGAGGTCGTGCGTGTCATGAGATCTCGTTGTCTGGTGTAAGAGTGGGCACTTTCGTGTCGTGCGCACTCACCCTTTTCTAGTACGTAGCAAAAACGCAGCAAGGCCTAAGCTCGCAGTGGCGTCCTCTGCGGCGAGTTGAGGCCGGGGCGGCCGGGCAGCGGCAGCAGCTCGGTCAGCTGGGGCGGCCGCGGCGCGGCGTCCCCTTCGCGCGTGCCGTCGAGGAGGGTCTCCGGGATCTTGGCCAGGAGCAGCTCGGCGAGCCGCTTGAACTGGTTCGACACCTGCCTGAGCTCACTCGCCGCCGCCTCCCGCGCCGCCTGCGCCGCCATCTCCGCCTGCGGACGCAGCCTGCCCGCCGCCGCCTCCGCAGCGCCCCTCGCCGCCCGGGCCGGCCCTGCGGCCTCCCGCGCCGCCCTGGCCGCCTCTGCAGCCTGGCGCGCCAGCCCGAGGCTGCACAGGCAGCTGCGCCGGCGCGCGTCCTCCAGCAGCGCGCGCCAGTCCCTCGAGCCGTCGGAGAGCGACTCCTCGGCGCCTGTTTGCGACTCACCGCCCGCCGTTAGTGGGAGGTGGAGGGGGTGGCACGCTGGGGAGTGCGAGTCCGGAGGCGCCGACGACGTACAGCGCGTGCCTCGCCCGCGTGAGTGCGACCTACGCGAGAGAGCGCCGCCCTCGACGGTCGGTTCCTCCGGCCGGGAGCCCTCGTGCCGAGCGGAGAGGGGCGGCACGTTGAGGCGCTGCTCGTCCTTGAGGAAGCCGATGGAGGCCTGCTTCGGGCCGGCGCGCACGCACGAGAGGATGACGACGTCCGCCTCGCGCCCCTGGAAGGCGTCGATCGACGAGACGAGGACGCCTAGGGCGCGAGAGGCGAGGCGTGTCCGTGGGAGGGGCCCCTGCAGGGCGCGCCGACAGTCGAGCGGAGAGGCGCCGTCGGCCGGCAAGTCGAGCGCCTATTCGGCACCAGAGTGCGTGATCGAGGCGCCGCTCCCCAGCAGCACGAGGAGTCGGCCGGTAAGCCGAGCGCCTCGCACACCCGGTCGAGCAGGCTGTGCAGCACCCTCTGCTGGCGCGTGTACGGCGTGAGCAGCACGACGCGCCTGCAGCACGCTGTCCAGATGGCTCGTGTGCCAAGGCCCGTGGGTCGTGTGAGGGCACGGCGTGAGCCGGAGGACGCGCTTGTACAGCTCGCCCCAGCCGTGCGGCTGCCGCGCCTGCCGCATCCAGAGCGCGAGGAGGAGGCCGACGCAGACCGCCGCCTCTCCCTCGTTCGAGTGCGACCTAGACACTTCCTAGACACTTCCTAGACACTTCCTTGTTCACACCTCTCCCTCGTTCGAGTGCGACCGCGAGCTGTCGGACGCGTCTTGCCTCCCGCCGAGCAGGCTGAAGAAGAGGTAGGGCGCCTGCGGGTGAAACGCCCAGGCAGCTGCGAGTCCAGCGGCTGTGGCGATTCACAGGGCTGCAGAGGTGCGGCGCCAGCCGACCGACGGCGCCGCCGCCACCGGCTCGCCGCTCCGGCTGGCAGCCGGCTGCGCCGCTGAGGTAGGAGGGCGCGCCCCCCTCGGAGCCTGTGGGAAAGGGTCCGGGAGAGGTCCGGGGACGCCTCACGGGAAGGGGCGACGGCGCGGCTCCCTCGGTGCCGGGGCACTGGCGCATCATGTGCGTGATCGAGGGGGCGTCGCGCAGCAGCCCGCCGTAAAAGTGGAGCGACGGGAACTGGCGGATCGCGCCTGGGAGCGGGCGAGGTCGGGTCGTCTCGGGAGTTCTCGGGCGGTCTCGGGAGCTGGCGGTCTGCACCGTGCATCCGGTACTGCGTGGATAGCATCAGCACGGGGCGGCCTATTCGTTCTTAGGTCAAACACGATCAACGGCGGATCACGCGCGATGTGGACAGAGAGCGGGGCGGAGCGGCCGAGCTGCTCGAGCCGCTCGAAGAGAGAGCGGGCGTAGCCTCTCCGCTTCGCAGCCTCCGAGAGGACGGTCGCCGGCAGCTGGCGCGGGTCTCCTACTCGGGCGCTCCTCGAACCTTCAGGGGCCGGCTTCAGCACGGCCGCGCGCAGCCGGCGCGGGGTCGCCGACGAGGCAGACGAGCCGCGCGCCGAGGGACATGGGGACGAGGGCGGCGAGCTCGGTGGCCTGCGCCGCCTCGTCGAGCAGCACCTAGCCTCGGGGGGCCAGCCTCGGCTCATCTCGCGCGAACTCGGCGCTCCTCCCACTGCATCGCGCTGCGGCGCCGTCTCGAAGCCGCCGGGCACCTACTCAGCGGAGATCGGCCGAGATTGGATGGAGAGGGCACGACGAGAGCGGCGCCGTCTCGAGGCGGCGCGGCGGCGCCTCGCGCAGCGCCTTCTCGCCCGCGGCAGACATGGTGCAAAACACTATCTCCGCCTCGGCGAGCGCGAGCGCCTGACAGGAAGCTTGCGAGAAGGCTCCGAGAAGGCTCCGAGAAGGCTCCCGGCCGCTCCGCCTTTTGAAGGGGCGAGCGCCTCCAGCGCGCGCGTCTCGGAGCGGGCTCGCCCGCGAGGCTCGGCGCTCTTGGGCAAGTTGGCGAGCGCGTTCAGAACGCGGTGGCACTCGCGGCCCGCCTGCAAGAAGGCTCCGGGAAGCTTCAACGGAGGGGTCGGGGTGGGCACGGTGCGGCACTCGGATCCCGCCCGGTCGTACGAGCAGATGACGCCCGCCTCCGCCTCGCCCTTGCGCTGCTCCACGTGCTCGGCGTGCCTGCTCACGCCTCCGGCTGTGAAGAGACGCCGCTCACGCCCCCCTCGCGTGCGCCGCCTCCCGCGCCTGATCCCCAAGCCAGCGGACCAGCCGCAGGCAGGGCAGGACAAGCTCGACTCGGCGGCGTCGTCACGCGAGAGGTCGAGGGCGTGGCCCTCGAGGCGGGCTCGCTCGGCGGCGCACGCGGCCGCGTGTCTCGCGTGCTCCTTGAGCTCTCGCCACTTCGCCTGCCGAAGCTGGTCGGCGCCGCCCTGGGCAAAAGTCGCGTGGCGCACCTAGCCGAGCGGGTGGGGGGACTCGTTCACTCTCGACTCGAGAGCAGCCGGCTCCTGGGGAGAGGCCGCGGCTCCTCCGTCTCGCGCTGCTCCACCAGCACGTCGAGGCTGCACGGCGACTGCGCGCCGCGCGAGCCGAGCCGCACCACGGCGGGGGTGTACTGCCGGCCGTACTCGTCGAGGAACGGAGGCTGCTGCCCGACGATGCGGCTCACCAGCTCGTCGATGGCGCCGTTCGAGTGCGCGCAGACGAGAATGCGGCCGCCGCGCGGCACAGACGGCAGAGGCAGCGACGAGGCGGCCGGCGCGCCGCTCGCCGCGATGCTAGCAACTGCCGCGGAGAGGCGGTCGACGCGGCTGTCGCCGCCGCCGCCGCCGCCCGGAGGGGGGGGGGAAGGGGTGGAGGCGGCCAGCCGGCGCGAGGCGGAGAGGAGCGTCTCGTAGTAGTCTTGGGTCGCGCCGTTGTGGAGCACGTTGATCAGGCCTATGCGATGAGCCGCGAACCTTCTCGGAACCCCTTCCGGCTGCCCGGGCCGGAGGTGCGGCGCGCTGGTCAGGCCGATGAGTGTGGTCGTCTTGCCGGTGCCTGGCGGCCCCTGCACGAGCACCACGCCCTCGTGCCTAACGGACCGACTCTCTCGGCTCACCACCCCTTCCTTTCCTTGCCCCTTCACTAGCCACCAGCGCCCCCTCTCGTGCCTGCGGTGCGCGAGCTCCGCGACGGTCCGCAGCGCCTGGTACTGCGCCTGTTCAGCCGCCCGTCACGGGTGAGCACATGCGCGGACTCGACGGCCCCGCGGCGGCGTGGGGCAGCGCCTCGTTGTGCGCGCTCCTCTTGCGCAGCGTCTCGATGTGCCTCATCCGCTTGGCCCACCGCCGCCCCGCCGCCTAGGAGCCCACGCGTTCACATGTGACTCACTCGCGATCCACCGACCAGCTCGGCCCACCGCCGCCACCGTCACCGAGGCGCCGCCGCCGCGGGGCGGGGCGGGGGCGCGCCCTTCGGGTGCCGAGCGGAGCAGCAGCGCCTGTTGGAGAGCGCGCGGAAGAGGGGTCGGGGAAAACTCCGGGCATTGCCCCTCCGCGCGGAGCAGCAGCGCCTCACACAAGCCCGGGCTAGGCCCCTTGAGCTGGGAGGAGGAGGAGGAGGGGGAGGCGGAGGAGGAGGCGGAGGAGCCGAGCGAGTGGAGCGCCACCCACTCTCTCCACTCGCTCGTGCACGACTCGAGGAGCGACACCTCCGAGCCAGGCCAGGGACACATCAGGGACGTGTCGCAGAGCGGTCGCGTCCTAGCCGCCTCGAGCAGCGACACCTCGAGCGTGCCGCCCGATGGCCCCCGCTGCCCGAGGCCGACGACACCCCAGCCGCTGCCTTCGACCAGCCAGACGGCGAGCTGCCGGTGCGTCAGCCGCGCGCCTAACCGCCCAACCACGTCAGCCACTCCACCACCGTCTCACACAGGCACCGATCGGTCGGTGCGGCAATCCGCGCGCCGCCGCGACGCCCCCCGTTCTGCGGCGCCTCCGCCCCCGTCTCGTCGCACGCCTTGGCCCTCCGCACAACACCGAGCGCGCTCGAGGGTGGCACGCCCCGCCCCGCCCCGCCGCCGCCGCCGCGGCCGCCGCCGCCGCGGCCACGGCCGCCGCCGCCCCAACTGAGGCGGACGATGTCCCACTCCGCGAGGGGGTGGGGTGTGTCGCAAGACACGCGCGCCTCGCATTCCCACGCCGCTACCTCGCCGCTCTCGCCTGCGGGGGGGCTGAGGCGTCGAGGGGGGGGGCAGGGCGGGGGTGGTGGGGGGGGGGGGGGGGGAAGGAAAAAAAGAAAAGCCTCCGGGCGGGGAGAAGAGGGAGAGACACAGCCATGTCTTTGGATCGCGGAGGGGGGGGACGGTGCCACGACACACCTTGCACGCCAAGCAGCAGCGGCTTCGGAGCCGTCGACCAGACTGTCGCGACCGGTCTCCGATCTGCGCCGCCGGCCGAGCGTCGCCCCTCTAGCTCCTGCAGCGCGCCTTCGGAGAGCTCGAGCAGCAGCAGCGGCCTGGTGCACACACTTGAACGCTTCACGAATCGGCCGGGCGGCGGCCTCTGCGAGAGCAGCAGCAGCAGCGCGCCTCCAGAACTGCACATACCTCCTGCGCGCTCGCGCCAGCTCGGCGCCATGCTCGAGGTCGCCGCCGAACTCGGTCGGGGGCGGCGAGTCCGTGCCGCCCTCCGCGGCGTCGCGGCTGCCCGAGGGTCCCACCTACCAGCCACGACCACACCATGACCCCGGGCACCCGCCTAGCCTGTCGCAGTCTGCTAGAAGGGCGGGGCCCCGCCCTCGAGACCTCGCGAGGTGGTCTCGGGCGATCTCGGGCGATCTCGGGCAGTGTCGGGTGCAGCCGGGCGACCTGGGGCGACCTTGGGCGACCTGGGGCGATCTCTGGGATCTGGGGCGCGATCTCGGGAGATCTGGGGCGATCTCAGGGCCGAATCTCGCGCCTTGCACAGCTCGCGCAGCACGAGAGTCGCGAGGTGCTCGCGCGACCCCTCGCTCACACACAGCCGGGTGGAGCTTGGACGGCGGGCCGGAGGAAGCGACTCGCCACGCGCTCGCCCGCCGACACCGTTGCATTGCACGCTGCCGCCGCTGCCGCCGCCGCCGCCGCCGCTGCCGCTGCCGCTGCCGCCACCACCGCTGCCGCTGCTACCGCTGCCCACCCCGCCCACCCTGCCACCGCTGCTGCTGCTGCCGCCGCAGCCGCCGCCGCCACAACCGCCGTTGCTGCCGCCCGCGACGCTGCTGCCTCTGTCTCTGCTGCTGCCGCCGCCGCCGCCGCCGCCGCCCGCATCGCCTCTCCCGCCGCTTCTTCCGCTCGCGCCGCTGGCACCCCCCTCTCCAGCCTCGCCGCTGCTGCGTCGCGCCGCGCCCCGCTCGTCCCACCTGTTCACAGCTGCGGCCGTGAAGACGCTCTGCACAGCAGGAGCTCGGCCCCGCCCCTCGCCCGCCCCACCGCTGCGCTGCGGCGGCCTTTGAGCCTCCCGCGCCGCCGCCGCTGGGCGAGGGAAGCGAGCCCGGAGGCCCCGGTCGCTTGGAGGGCGCCTAATGAGTTGATTCTCAGCCGTGGGCTACTGCGCCAGATGCAAGTCAGCCTCGGCGGCTTGGGAGGGCGCCGGCAGCTCGCCGTCCTCTCTCGGCCGCTTGCCCGCCGGCTGAGCCCGCAGCTGCACTCCGGCGGGAGCGCTTGGCCCGGACCCGACGCGCGTCAGTAGGAAGGTTGAGCTTCTGCCGCGGAGCAGCGCCTGTTTCAAGCGCGCACCACTCGCGAGCCGGTGGGGTGCCTCTGTCTCTGCGCCCCTGCCTCGCAGCGGCGCCTGAAGCCCGCCCGAGCGCTGGAGGACCGCCCGCCACCGGGACGAGCGGGCCGGGCCGACCTCGTCGAGCAGGGCCGCCTCGAGGCGGCGCAGCTCCACAACCTGAGAGTCAAGTCTCGACTCTTCAACGGGTGTACGGTCCAGCAGGAGCCGCCTCGACCCGGCTCCGCCACCGCCGGCTCTGACATCGCGAGCCCCTTTTCCCGGAGGATGGCGCTCAACTCCTTGACCACCTCCTGTTCAACAGCAAGCACAGAACAGCTCACCGCGGCCGGCAAGCCGAGAGGGCGCCGCCCCTGCTCGGGCATCGCCTCCTCGGCCCTCTCTTCCTCGCCCCTCCCGCCGCCGCCCCCCGCAGAAGAAAGGCCGCCGCCCCCGTCTCCGCCTCCTCCTCCGCCGTTGCCGCCGCCCACGACGCTGCTGCCTCTGTCCCTGCTGCTGCTGCTGCCGCCGCCACCGCCGCCTCCGCCGACGCCGCCTCCGCCGCCGCCGCCGCCTCCGCCGCCTCCGCCGCCACCGCCGCCGCCGCCTCCACTGCCACCACCACCTCCGCCGCCGCCGCCGCCGCCGCTGGCCGGCAGGCCCGACGCCTTGCACCGCATCCCCTCGGGTTAGGGTCAGGGTCAGGGTCAGGGTCAGGGTTGTGGTTGTGGTTGTGGTTGTGGTTGTGGTTGTGGTCCGTCGACGCCTTGCCCCGCATCCCCTTGGGTAGCTTGTCGATGAGAGCGAACTCGACGCGAAGGCGAGACAGCTCGCCGGCCTACTCGCGGGCCCCTCTCACAGTCCCTCTCCCGCCTCTCTCGACGCGGAGGCGAGACCGCTCTCAGAGCCGGCAGCGGAGGAGACCACTCCGGAGCATACTCCGGCGCACTCACCTGCGTCACGCGGGCGACAGAGGAGGAGTCGACACACAGGGG